TATGAAGCATATGGTGAAAATTTTATTTTGAAAAATAAATTTGTTCTTTTTTTCTTATAAAAGGCTAAATAAAACAAAAAATATTGGTGGTAATTTTTGACTGTGTAACCATAAGAAACACATTAAGCGAYGTGAATATTTTTCTTCTCTGCTTCATGACTAATTAGGACTGCATTGAATTAGAGAAACACCAACAGGATAAAACAGATGTTTGGATATTCTGCTTTGCTATAAAACATCCTTGTGTGCAATCTAAAAGGTCTACATGTGCTGTATAAATGTTTACCACACTCCTACTTTGTTTACCACTTAATTTCCAAAGACACGCACCTTCTCTTTTGCAGTTCTTTTGACATATAGTTTAGCTTAATTGCAGCCATGGCCAAGGATAAAAACGCAGAGCTCTACTAGAGAAGTTAAAAAAAACACCAAATAAGTTTGACGTTCACACAAAATTAAAAATACAACCTCAGTCCACTGGATGAGCCACAGTCACATACTGTATAATGTGAACCTTGTTAGCCTCCCTGATGTTTTTTTATTAAAATGAAATAAATACGATAACTATCAGTGTGAAAGCAGAGCAAGTGTTTTTCACTGCTAATTAACTGGACATAGTAAGACTACGGTGATGGGTGTTTTTGCACTCATAAACTGCAGGACAGCGCACACAGGCAATTAAAGTTTTACAACAGTTTAGATGTAGCAGTTTCTCACCTAACATCAAGTTTCTTCTGTTGGAGTATTTGTGTGTGAGCAGGACTAAGAAAAGTTCAACAAACAGACAAATTGGGCTCGACACATGGGAGGCGACATCACTCCCTCTCCATTCATTTCCTGTTGAACTTGTGCAATGAGGCGACAATCCCTTGTCCTCCTCCAGCCAAGCAAATGGAGAAATTTGATCTTGTGACATTTCAAGCTTGCACACGTATACGTGTACAAACAGGCTTACAAAGCGACACAAGAAAGTAGAAAAATGTTCTACTTTTGTCATTGTTGCATGGCTACAAACAGTCAGCGAGGGTTTCATTGACTGACCAACAATGTAGTACTTGAGACAACATTCGTACTCAGTCTTGTCTTGTCTCGGACATTGAGGACTCTGGATTTTAATTTTAAACTAGTCTAGATGACAGCTGTGGCAATATCACTCAACGGCGAGAGTATTGTCCAGTTTAATTAACGTCTTTGTTTTATTGAATGTAAAACTTATTAATTTAAATTCAAGCATGACCCATTAATGTATTTTATTACCACGGTCACCCTCCTTTTTGAGCTACTCTCTATAGGCTTCTTCTCGTTTTTATTCTGAATGTGCATTTTTCTGATGGAATAGTTGTGCTGCCATCACTGAATGACTAAAACCAGAACTTCATCGGTTGGACAAACTCATGGCACACGGGTGTGCAAAGACCTACCAGAGATTGTTGGGACTACATTGAACTTTTATCATCACTCAAAGGAAGCGCAAAGAAAGGTAACCTATGTGTAAATGTTGTTAGCAAAGCTAGCTAGCTAAAGTTAGCAATCTGCCTTTGTACCCAAATTCTATACCCGGACCTCACTTAGAGATTTAGTCAATATTAAATACAAATATTAGGTTAGCTACCTGTGTACAGTTTTCTGTATGATTTAGGGTACTATTCTGTTTTTTCTGGTCATGGTCTTGCCCACCCTTGGTCTTGGGCATGACTTGGTCTCAGGTAAGGTGGTCTTGACTGCAACCCTACTGACCATTTAACRGAGAATATGCTACACACTGCAGTCAGCAACCGATGTCAGCATGGASGAAAACATTATTTTAGCCATGCCCCACTCTCCTCTCTTATATGACACTTCAAAAAGTGATTACTGAGATAAAAAGGTAGCTATATGGGAACTTCTGAGTTTGTGAGTTTGCCCTGTAAGTTTTCTCCACAAGAAGTTGTATCTTCACGTGCATTTTTGTAAGTTTCTCAATATTACCATTAGGATCCCAAAATTTTTTTAGTTAAAACCAAACACCAAAAAATATTCAAGAAGAAGAAAAGAAAAACATTAAAATTCTTGGAGATAAGCGACTCGAGAGCGCGATTCACAATTCTGCCATCGCTGCAGCATCCTGTGTTTTGGGTTTCACCATGATGGCGATGACCGCCACCTGTTGCTGTCGCATATTGATCCCTGTGTGTTGAGCTCTTTATGGTGCAACACCTTTTGCATCATTTTATAAGTGACTACATTACAATGAAATACCAGCAGGTTCGGATGTTATCAGTCCATTAAATGGACGTTATTAGCAATTGTCAGTCCCATAGAATGGCTTCAGACTGTCCCAACAGTGCCCCTAGTGGGTTACCAGTGCCATATACGTTGGAATGCAACAATCTGCTACTGCCGGAGTCCAGTCTACTTTATTGTAGCCCATGTCATTTTCTCTAAAATWAACCTTAGTGGCTTTATGTCTCATATTAACCAGCTGACAGTCTGAAGCCATTCTATGGGACTGATAACTGCTAATAAYRTCATTTAATGGATGATAACATCCGAAGYGGRTGGAAATACAATGTGAGTCAAATGTAATTATTTTTGCATGAACATATATTGCAAATTAGAGCTGAAGCAAGGTTTTACTCGTGTGTCTTTTTTAATGAAACATCTCATTAACCACTGGATGGATTTTAATGAAGTTCACAGAAAATAATTATTGGATCTACCTCAGTGCAATACAGGATTCAGATAAAAAATGACTAATTGGT